GGAAGGAAAACGAGGGCTTTTAACTGATGGGATGCCTGTCCTGTCGCCTGGTAGCCAGGAGCCTGTGTGGCAGGGCTCTTCTGATAAGCCACGCACCAGAGGCGTTGCCCTGAGTTGAGAAGAAAGGTCAGGGTTGCGCTCATCGTCTTCCCTCCACACCGTCCCTGTGCTTCGAGGCTCTGGGGAAACCAGAGCCTTGGGTTGCTTGTTCTTTCTATTCCTTCCTCGCTGGGGTAGACAGCTGATTTGCCTTTTGGGAAAAGAGGTCTTTACTCTTGTGAAGATTCCCAGGTACTCATGATTGCTTTTAAGTAAGCTATTGAAAAAATTCTTAAGTATGCCTTTTATTTACATCTGGGAAACATAGTTTGTGTAGACGCACATTCAGGTTTTTAATTGGTTAAGAAAAAATCATTACATATGGAAAAAAGTCATTTTTCTTTTTTAAAAAGTGAGGGGAAGCCTGGGTGGCTCAGTCGTTAAGCGTCTGCCTTTGGCTCAGGTCATGATCCCAGGGTCCAGGGATCGAGCCCTGCATCGGGCTCCCTGCTCCACGGGAAGCCTGCTTCTCCCTCTCCCACTCCCCCTGCTTGTGTTCCCTCTCTCGCTGTGTCTCTCTCTGTCAAATAAATAAAAATTTTAAAAAATAAAAAGTGCTTTATTGGGATATGGTTCACGTACCATACAGTGCACCCATTTAAAGTGTGTGTATCTGATGGTTGTTAGTATATTCACAGGTATAGGCAGCTGTCATCTCACAATCAGTTTTAGAACATTTTTCTCATCTCAGAAGGAAACCCTGGCCCCCAGCCCTGTTCCGCCCAGCCTCAGGCACTCACTGCTCTGCTTTCTGTCTGCAGATTTCCTTGTTTTGGACATTTCGCATGAATGGAATCATAGAATATGTGACCGGTTTCTCTCACTGAGCATACTGTTGTAGCACGTGTCAGTACTTCATTCCTTTTCTTAAATCATTGTGCTGAAATGTACACAGCATGAAATTTACTATTTTTAACCATTTTTAAGTGTACAGTCCAGTGGATTCAGGATGTTCACACTGTTTTGCAACCATCATCACCATCCATCTCAGGAACGCTTCTCTCTTCCTGGTCTGAAACTCCGTCCCCATGAAACACCAATGCCTCTTTCCCCCTAGTAAGCACTGTCCTTTGACATTCATTAGCTCAATCAGAATCTGTTTTTAGTCGTTTTGTATGTGTTTACTGGAATGTGGTATATCTTTTGGATGCACAGCCCTGCCAACATTTTGATTTTAGCCACAGAAGACCTACTTCCTGGCGTCTGAACTCGAGAACTGTAAGATAAATTCATGTTTTCTTAAGCCATGAAATTTGTGGTCATATGTCACAGCAACCCCAGGAAACCCATGACATCAGTTTTACACACGTTTGTACAGACTCGTCCTGATGTAAGGCTCTGGTGGTTGTGTGGCTCCCACAGCAGCTACTACGTGCTGAGCACGGCCCGGTGCTCCTGCTCAGTCTCGTCTCCTCATCTGTAAACGAGAGGCAGCATCAGCATCCACCCTGCAGGAGTGGGGCGGGGGGACTGAGCTAACCTGTTGAACACTGCAGCCTAGGGAGCTCTTAAAATGACTAAAGAGGGGCGCCTGAGTGGCTCGGTTGGTTAAGTCTGATCTTGATTTCGGCCCAGTCGAATCAGTCTGATCCTTGATTTCGGCTGAGGTCACGATGTCAGGATCGTGGGATGGAACCCGATGCCCACACAGGGCGTGGAGCCTGCTTGGAATTCTCTCTCCCTCTCCCTTTCTCAAAAAAAAAAAAAAAGATTCCCTCTCCCTTTGCCCCTCCCCCTCACTCAAGAAAAATAAAATGACTAAAGAAAGTGCAACTCTTTTATAGAGGGGTGAATTTGAGGCTCAGAGAGGTTTAGTGATATGCCCAAGATCACATAGCTAGTAAGTGGCCATACTGGGATTCGAATCCTTGGCTCTGAAGCCAGTGATCTTTCTTGTAGCATGATGCTTTCCCTCAGGACTATCTCTTAGGGAGCTTATGGTCTAATTAATCAGGGAGCCAAACCTAACCCTCCAGACCTAGTAAGACAAATATAACAGGAGGGAGTTTGGAGAAGAGAGACTCAGTGGGACAGCAGTGCTGCTGGTTATTGTCATTTTCAGAAAAGCTTTACTGAGCACCCACCATTTGGGGTCACTAGGCCTTGAGAATTGTAGTGAGACATTACCCTTGCCTTCAAGGAGCTAGTAGGGAAGGTGGCAAAAGCTTCTTGAGAAGGTTGGAATTGGAACTTGGTCTTAAACTGTAGGTAGTTTTTAGGCAGCAGCAAAGGGTAAGGAGGAGTTTGCAGATTGGGAGAGCATGAGTAAGTGGATTGTGATAAGCTGTATCTGTTAGTACTAGATCTAGCTGCTTATAACAGAAGCCCTAGAGTAACAGTGGCTTAAACAAAAATTTATGTCCCTCTTGTGTTAGAGGTCTGGAAGTAGACAGGCTGGGCAGGTATGGCAGCTCCATGGGCTCAATGGAGACGTGGGCTCCTTTCAGCCAACTGCTCTGCTGTTCCTAGGCTGTGGCTCTGATTCTCATGATCTAAGAAGGTGCTAAAGCTCTGGCCATATGTGCCGGTCAAGACACTGGCAAGAAAGTGGAAACAACACTAGACATTTCAACATAGAGAATTTAATATAGGGAATTGGGTGAACAGACGTTAGAAAGAAATGGGACCCAGTGGCCCACAGAACTGCAGGAAGCAGCCCCTTCCCTGGGCTGGGGGACCAAGGGAAGAGGTGGGGATTATCAGACCCTGGAGCTGGGCCCCGCTGCTTGCGGAGAGGGCACTGCTTGGCTGTTGCTGGCATCTGAGACTTTGAGAAGCACCCCCTGCAGCTGGGGCCCAGCCCTCTGAGCTGGTATCCTGGAGAAGGTGCCGTGAGGCTGGTTCTGGGGCTGGTGAAAGAAGTGGGGGTTCCCCTGTTGCTACTCCAGCACTCAGACACAACACAACAGGCCTGTCTCCTTCCTCCTGCCTTCCAGCCTCCCTCCAGGGCCCCCACTGGCAGACCGTAACTGGGAGCAGCCGGCAAAGGAGATTTGTAACGGGTGGAACCCCTGGCCCAATGTCACAACCGAGAACTGAAGTGTGGACTTGTTGCTCATAGACCAGAGCTTCGCGATTGACACACTGTCCTCTCCTTGTTTCAGACAACAGGATAGAGGACAGGAAGAAAGGGACAAAGCCCATGAGGATGTCTTAAGTTGACTTCCAAAAGTCACCTTTTACTTCCTTTTACATTCTACTTGTCAGCACCTGGTCACACGGGCACACCTACCTGTAAAGGCAGCTGGTAAATAGTCTTCATGCTAGGCGCGTTGCTGCCTGGATAAAACCTGGAAAGGGAGGAGAATGTCTGCCACAGAAGCAGAATTTTCAGAATTGTTACCTCCTGTTAATACACCAACATTAACAAACTTCCAGATAAAAATTTCTCCCTGTTCTCTTTTCTCCCCACACAATCTCTTGGTCTGTATTTTGTAGCTCTTGGCAGTGCTTGTCAGTGTGTGCTCATAATCCCTGTGCAATCACACCATGCCTGTACCTGATAGTGTGAATTAGGTGTGTATTTTAGTCTCACTTTGGTATTTTAGTCTCACAGGTGGCTAGGTGGCTCCTGTGACCGGGGGGTGTCCTTCTCAGCTTTATATCCAGAGACTGGACTCTATATCCAGAGACTTGGCTAGACTGGACTGGTTATGGATGGGGCAGGGAAAAGCTGGTGGCTTCTGCGACCGGGGGGTGTCCTTCTCAGCTTTATATCCAGAGACTGGACTTTATATCCAGAGACTTGACTAGACTGGACTGGTTATGGATGGGGCAGGGAAAAGCTGGTGGCTCCTGTGACCGGGGGGTGTCCTTCTAGAAAGCTGTGGTTCGATCTCCTGGTCACTTTCTCTCCCAGAGTTGCATGCCTACTGCCCTATGATGCTGAAGCCTCTGACGGTCAGGGGTCGACACGGTTTGCTGGAGCGTGTAGCCTCCGACACTGACTGTCCTGTGATTTGTCTTCTTTGTCTTCATTAGAGAGGCTATTTCTTGAGGGCAAGGGCAGAGCATAGTTCAATTTTGTATTATCCTAGCTTCCAGCATAGTGCTTGGCTTAGATAATAGTTCCTGAAGATTCACTGGCTAGATTAGGATTTAGGGACTCTGAAGTCTGCTGCAGATGAGGTGCTTCATGTCTGGAGCTCCTGACTGTACAGTATCTCGTATTCCTTCATTCAGCTCCGATTCCTCCATTAACTACCCTTCCTCTCTACCTGATCGTGTCCAACCCAGGCAGGTGATTTGTCCCAAAGGCAGTTATTCTCCTGTTCAAATGACCCCTATAACTTGTTTCTTGTCTCTCCTCGTCAGAGGGGAAGGTTCAGGGTACTGAGATCTCCCGTCATTTCCTCTGAGTGCTCCAAGAACCAGTCAGTGTTGCAAGTTTTTTGAAAAGGCTGTTAGTCAAAATTGATTGAGATGTTTTAATAACATGGAGCTATATATACTTCAGGTGGAAGGTCCTCGGGGCGGTGGGTTAAGTATTGCTCCAAGATTTTAACCTGGTCGCTATGGGAACATGGTGGAGTTTTTGGATCCTAGAAGAACGTGAGCCTGAAAGAACGCATCTGGGACGCTCCCACCCGCAGGGTCCTCACAGGGTTCTCATTCTCTGGAGGCACACACCCTGTGCAGGTGCACACATGCGATTTAGGACTCACCTCTAGCGCTAAGCTAAGAAGAACAGATAGGGAATTTGCCTGTTTTTAATGTGACTGGAATTGATCCAAACATCGTGGAGCTCATCGTGTATATATCGCAGGTCTCCTGAGAGTCGATCGAGACTTTGATGGGAGTAGTTCCTGTGGGACTCTGACGTCTCATCCGTAGTTGTCCAAGAAGGGTGGTTTAGCTGACCTTCAAAATACTGACGCTTACTGTCCTTTGACTTCCAACAGAGGTGGCCTCAGTAACATGCTGTTCCAGTGCTCCTTTCCCGACACCGTGGCCACCATTGGTGACGAGCCTCGGAAAGTGCTCCTGCGGCTCTACGGGGCAATTTTAAAGATGGTGAGTTCTTAGGCTGCGTGGGGACGGGAGGGCCCTGTGAACAGTTTTCATCCTCTCTCCTAAATTACCTGGGAAGAGATTTTAAATACTTTAGTGGTGGTTTTTAAAGCTATTTTTACATACTGCTTTTATCTTAATTGGGCTGCACAACTGGGTTTTTTGCTTATATCCTGTTATGTTCTGAATTCCTGTTTTTGCTTATAATTTATTAGTAAGACAGTACAAATATTCTCAGCTTTATATCCAGAGAAAAGTATGATGTTGGTTAAATCTTTAGTAGTGGTTATGATGCTTGGATTTTCCACACATTGAAATTTTTAGCTCAGACCTAGGTTGTAAAATTCTAATGTGGAAAAGGTATTGTTTTTAATAACATGATCATAAAGGTTTTACAGGGCACAGGGGAGCCCCGTGGACAAAGTATAATCTCAGTTGAGCTGAATTTATTAACTACCTCCCTTTGAGATTCCTTTAAAATGTTGAATTTGTTAGACTCATAATCCTTTTAAATTTTTATATATTAGTTGAATCTAATTTTCAGTTAAAGTGCCTTATTTATTGAATTGTCTTCATCAATTGTAGGAGATCCCAAATGTCTGGATTTTTTTTTCTATTTACACCATGAATTTACCACTTTACTGACCACACATACAAATGTTTGTTTGATATCTTCCTATGGTAGAATTTTAATATCCATTTAAATCTTCAGAAGGGCCCATTTTGATCTTCATGAAATGGAGAGTAGTTTTCTGACTTAATGTTTTAAGAGACTAGTCTCAGCTCAATCTGAAGGGCAGATTATGCCCATGTCTGCGATAATTCGATTTTAATGTTCAGAAATATCAAAGCTAAAGCTGGCACTCTGTCATAATGTGACTGAGCCTTTTTGTTGGATAGTTTTCCTGGGCCTTGCCCCGCTGTGAAGTGCTCAGGATCTGAGTGTTGGAAAGCCATGTGCCCTTTGCCCCGGAAACCTGAGGCCACTTTGTGATGAGGAACATACAGCTGACCCTGACTTTGACCCCTTAGTGATGGTACACAAGCGACAGGGTTCTTGTGTTGGCCACACAGTTGGGTTTTTCATTCAATCAAGTTGCACTTTCAGAGCACAGTTTTTGAAAAACCCAGTTAATGTCCTTTTGGTACTTTCAATGAGACCAGTCTTGAGCCATTTTATCTTTGAGGACTTTTACATCCTCTAACCATTAGTCCCATTTCTGCTCATTTGTGGGCTTTCATGTGGGCAACACTTTTAGGATACTTTAATAACCAGTGGCTAGAATTGCACGTGATACAGACTATTGTTTAAATCTGATTTCTGAGGCTTTCGTTTGTATTGATAACTTTAACTAGGGGCATTTTAAATGTGCACTATGCACCCCTCCAGGGGCCAGGCTAAACTAGGCGCCAGATTCTGCTCTGGATCTGTGCTGTTTGGGGTGCTGGTCACCAGCCCTAGGGGGCTATCAGACGTTTGAACTGTGGCGAGTGTGACCGAGGGTGGGGATTTTAAATTTTAATTACTTTTAATTAACTCACATTGAAATGGTCGCATGTCCTGGTGGCTGCCACATTGGACAGCACAGCTCTAGAATGTGCTGTGTTACCGGAGGTGTAACTTAGCGAAGCCATCGAAAGCATGGCCTGGCCCTGAGCAGTTAACTCTCCCCCTAATAAAGGTTCACTATCGCTAGTTAGTATTTTGTCCTTTTCGAAATTTTAGTGGTCCAGAATTACTGCCTTATAGTACTTACACGTAATAAAAATGCCTGGAAATAGGATTTGTGTTAGCATTTCTAGGTCCCTGTTTATTTTTAGGTAACTCAAAAATAAACAGAATAATTAAAGGCACTTAAAGTGGAATTAATTCTTTCCAAACTAATAGAATGGAGTATGTTTTTACATCTAGGTCTAATTCACAGGGGGGCACTCTACATTTAGCTTCTTAATCATGTTTTTATTAGGCAAATGTCAGTTGCCATTCCCGAATCTGCCTCCGCCGAGCAGGGCAGAAACTCTGCCGGGAGACGAGCAGCTTACTAACTGGACAGTCCGCGGGTTCTCCAGGCTCACGATTGACTTACTGGACAGCGGTCTCATTTTTGCTGGAAAAAAAGCTGTTCCTTCGCTTTAGAGGAGGGAATCTGTTTTAGTATTTATGCTAAAATATGGGTTGAGTCCTCAGTTCAAGGACACTTTTTTTGTGCAGTTCCAACGTAGTAAAAATATGAGACCTACAGTCTCAAATGGAAATGTTTTGGAGAGGTTTTTGGCTGAGGTTTTTGTTCTTCAGGGTTCAGCAGGGGCATTGGTTGCCAGGTGGAATTTTAGGCATGAATGGCCATTGTAAACTGTGGGTCATTTGAATACCTTGACAGCAGACGGAGGGGAACCAGACTGGGGCACTCTGAGAAGTGGCCGCGGGAAAGAGAAGGCCGTCAATGCAGACATGGAGTCCGTGAGGCACAAGCCAGGTGGCCCCTGCCAGCAGGTGCCGGCAAAGCTGAGCTCTCCCAGCGCTGGGCCAGGGATCTCACCACAGACTTCAGTGCCTTTTCAAATATTCCCAAGTCCGATTTAAAGGATCTATGATTTTTATTGCTGGGTGTGAGTTCACTCATATTGCTGACCAGCTCTTTGGAATGAATCTGGCCTACAGCAGAGGGACAGACAGACAGAGTCTGCCATGAGGCTTCTGTTCCCACCACCACAACGAAAAACAGTTGCCAGAAGTGATAGTGATTTGTTAGGATTTGCATTCATTGAGAGATGTGGCTGAGCAAATCTAGAGCCCGCCCAAATAATAAATCCTGTTACTTTCATAAACGAATGGATTAAAAACAGAAACATAACACCACTCAACTGTTATGCTTTCTCCGTCTGTACCCTCCCTGTGGGGAAAGCACACGTGTCCCTATGCGTGTACATGTGCTGTCCAGATAAACTGGGATCCCCAAAAGCGGCTGTATAAATGCAGCTGTAGCATGCTTTAGGGTGGGTCAGAATAAGCTCCTTCTTTAAAAACTGTTAGCTGACAGCTACAGGTAATGGTAGACCTGTGCATCTTCTCAGACGGTCTTGCTGTTTTGCTTAGTGACACCCTAGAGCCGTCGGGTTCTGTCCTTTCCCTGCCTTACCTCTGAGGATCAAATGTTAAGGAGAAATATTTCTTTGATTTACATTGACAGTCCTTTACAGGTGACTTGGTTGAAGATAATTAGATGTTGCTCAGCTTTTGGCTGAGGCCGTGGCAGTGAGATACTGCTCCTCCATGCTGTCCACTGCAAGCTACGGGGCAGAAAGCCAGCAGTTTCTGTCCCCAAACTTCGTTCTCTCCCAGCCCATCACAACATACAACACTATAAACATCAAAATACCCGTCTGATCTTAAAGTAGTACCTGCCGATACAGTTCAGGGTCTGTTTCACACAGCCCAGCCTTCATTTTAACAGGGAAGATTGGTTTCTTTAGTTGCACAGATGACGGATGCAGAATTCCCCTGCAGAATCACCCCTAGGCACAGTAGGACAGTTTCGAGAAGGTGAGAAGTACTAGTTCAGCCTTTGCCACGTGGAAGGAGATGTGATTGCTAGAAGAGAGCTTGAAACGATAACGCAAGCTATAAATGTAACTTGGTTTTTTTCCTTTCTGGTATGGGAAGGAACATGAGCTCCGCAACGTCCAGTAGCAGACTTATCAAAGCAGCAAGTTTGGCTGATTACAAATAACCCGTTTGCTTATTTATCATGAATTGTGGAAGACACAAATGTCAGTACGTATTCATTCAATGTAACCTGTGCCAGTTGGCGCAAGTCTCAGAGGATTGCTTTGTCCCTTCCTCTGTCAGAACAGTGACTCTGTGTTGAGCCAGTTCCTTCTGTGCATGAATGGAGAGATTTGGCCTCACCGTTTTGAACGGTCTCACAGGCATGAATGTCTATAAAACACATCAAAGATCTCTCCAGTGTTGTCTGGGAAAATGTTTTTGTCTGTTCTTTGAGCACTAGAAGGCTAATATTAGTGCTTGTTTGAGTACTAACCATAATAAAATTAAAGGCATCAAAGCACAACGCAGATATGTATCCATGACTGAAAAGAGTGCAATCTGGGACATGGTCTGTTTTAAATCCGGAAAGCAAAATGTCATCTTCCCTGTTTTCTCTTAATCCCAGGTTAAATAGAAATTAAACCACTCTAACATGTGGGAACCAGACAATATGGGAACAGCCCATAGGTAGCTCATACTGAACTATCAGCGGCTGAGAAATTGACTGCTTACAAACATTGCAGAGACCGTCTGATTCATGCTCCCTCACGAAGAGCCCTGCTTTGTCCCAAGAGCCTGGGGAGAGCACGTGTCCCTGGTAACTGAGTACTGTGAACTCTGTGCATTATTTCTCATCGTGTTAGGATCATCATGAGTTTAAGTTGTTTTGTTTACTCTGCGTTTTAAAAAAAAAAATCCCCTTGGACTTTGAGTGTGGTGTAATTTTATCTATTCCTAGGGTAGTCTAACTTCCCTTCCAGAAGTAACACATCGTTCTAGTATTATGTGTTCCCATTTGGTCTAACCTAGTATTTCCTCAGTTAATACTCGAGAGAGAGTCGCCAAATCACTATCTGCGGTCCTTCCATACCTGCTTTGGTGCCTTCTTTTCATAACTAAATAAATGGCAGACTACTGTGTCTAATTTTGACATATGCAAAGTGTCTTTGTCTTGCTGGTCTTAAATGTTTGGGATTTATAGCATGAAGCCAGTACCGATTTCGGGTCCCTGGAACGATGGTGTGAGTGCAGCCCACCCGTACGGGGAAGGAATGTCTTTGTGTCGGGTGGCGTGAAGGGCGCTTGGGGGGAATGTACTACTTTAGCTGTCTGTGCATGTGTTCTCTGCCGCAGGCTGTCCATGCGATCGTGCCTGGAGCACTCTGGTTTCCAGGTGACAGACACGATTCACGGTATAGTATGAGTCCTCTGAAGTTGGAGCATTCTCTACAGC